AATTGTCACCTCCCACCCCCCCAGGACAACTTCGGCTACGACCTGCCGGCGGTGGAGGCGGCCATGAAGAAGCACGAGGCCATCGAGGCCGACATCTCCTCGTACCAGGAGCGCATCCAGGTGGTGGTGGAGCTGGCCCTGGAGATGGAGTCCGAGGGCTACTACGACACCAAGAGGATCAGCGCCCAGAAGGACAACATCCTGAGGCAGTGGGGCCTCCTGACCGAGCTGGTCTGCGCCCGCCGCGCCCGCCTCGAGCAGAACTTGGCCCTGCAGAAGATCTTCCAGGAGATGGTCTACATGATCGACTGGATGGAGGAGATGCAGGTGGAGCCGCCGGGGAGGACACGGGGGGGTGGCTCTGGGAGCTGATGGAATGGTTGAGATGAGGGGTTGGTGGGCTGGGGGAGAAGGGTCAAGCCAAGGTCTTGGTGGATGATGGAAGAGGGTCAAGCCAAGGTCTTGGTGGACCATGGAATGGTCAAGCTGAGGTCTTGGTGGACCATGGAAGAAGGGTCAACCCAAGGTCTTAGTGGACCACAGAAGAAGGGTCAACCAAGGTCTTGTAGACCACAGAAAGGTCAACCCAAGGTCTTGGTAGGCCACAGTAAAAGGATCAGCCCAAGGTCTTGGTAGACCATGGAAGAAGGGTCAACCCAAGGTCTTGATGGACCATGGAATGGCCAAGCTGAGGTCGTGGTGGATGATGGAAGAAGGTCAACCCAAGGTCTTGGTAGACCATGGAATGGCCGAGCTGAGGTCTTGGTGGACCATGGAAGAAGGGTCAACCCAAGGTCTTGGCGGATGATGGAAGAAGGGTCAACCCAAGATCTTGGTGGACCATGGAAGAAGGTCAACCCAAGGTCTTGGTGGAACATGGGAGAAGGGTCAACCCAAGGTCTTGGTGGACCCCAGGAGGGTCTCTCTCGTTCTCTTCCAGGTTCTCCTGGTCTCCAAGGACCTGGGGAAGCACCTGCTGGAGGTGGAGGACCTCCTGCAGAAGCACGGGCTGCTGGAGGCCGACATCTCTGCCCAGACCGAGCGGGTCCAGGCCCTCAACGCCGCCGCCCTCAAGTTCTCGGAGCTGGAGGGTAACGGGGGGCACCGGGGTGGGCACTTGGGTGGCACCGGGGTGGGCACCGGGGTGGGCACCGGCAGGGGCTCCTTGGGAAGGGTCAAGTCAAGGTCTTGGTGGACCATGGAAGGGTCAACTCGAAGTCTTGGTTGAAAGGTTGACCCAAGGTCTTGGTTGAAAGGTCAACCCAAGGTCTTGGTTGACCATGGAAGGGTCAAGGCAAGGTCTTGGTGGACCACAGAAAAGTCAACCCAAGTTAACCAAGTCAACCCAACTTCCAAGGTCTTGGATGACCATGGAAGGATCAACCCAAAGTCTTGGTAGACCGTGGAAGAAAGGTCAACCCAAGATCTTGATGGACAATGGGATGGTCAACCCAAAGTCTTGGTAGACCATGAAAGAAAGATCAACCCAAGGTCTTGGATGACCATGGAAGGATCAACCCAAAGTCTTGGTAGACCGTGGAAGAAAGGTCAACCCAAGGTCTTGATGGACCATGGGATGGTCAACCCAAGGTCTTGCTAGACCACAGAAAGGTTGACCCAAGGTTATGGTGGACCATGGAAGAAGGGTCAACCCAAAGTCTTGGTTGAAAGGTCACCCCGAGGTCTTGGTGGACCATAGAAGGGTCAACCCAAGGTCTTGATAGACCTTGGAAGGGTCAACCCAAAGTCTTGGTTGAAAGGTCGCCCCGAGGTCTTGATGGACCATGGAAGAAGGGTCAACCCAAGATCTTGGTAGAGCACAGAAAGGTCACTCCAAGATCTTGGTAGACCATGGAAGGGTCAATCCAAGGTCTTGGTTGAAAGGTCACCCAAAGGTCTTGGTGGACCATGGAAGAAGGGTCAACCCAAAGTCTTGGTTGAAAGGTCGCCCCGAGGTCTTGGTAGACCATAGAAGGGTCAACCCAAAGTCTTGGTTGAATGGTCACCCCAAGGTCTTGATGGACCATGGAAGGAGGGTCAAACCAAGGTGTTGGTGGACCACAGAAAGGTCAACCCAAGGTCTTGGTGGACCCCGGAAGGAGGGTCAACCCAAGGGGTCTCCTCCAGGGTTGGTGACTCCACCACCTCCCTGGTCACCCCTTCCAACACCAAAACCTCTTCGTCTCGTCCCAGGTTACCAACCCTGCGACCCCCAGATCATCTGCAACCGGGTCAACCACGTGCAGACGTGCCTGGAGGAGCTGGAGGAGCTGGCGGCCAAGAGGCGCAAGGAGCTGGAGGATTCCCGCCAGCTCTGGACCTTCTTCCAGGAGATGGAGGAGGCCGAGGCCTGGATCCGCGAGAAGGAGAAGATCTTGGCCGCCAAGACCTGCGGCCGCGACCTCAGCAGCGTCCTCACCTTGACCACCAAGCACAAGACCATGCTGGGCGAGCTGGGCAACCGGCGCGCCCTCCTCCACCAGACCATGAAGAAAGGCGAGAAGATCCTGGCCAAGAAGTCCTTGGGCCCCGCCGGCATCCAGGAGAAGATGCGGGAGGTTTGCCTGCGCTGGAAGAAGCTGGAGGAGGTCACGGGGCTCCACCAGCAGCGCCTGGAGGACGCCCTGAACTTCTTCCAGTTCAGCGCCGAGACGGACGACCTGGTGGCCTGGCTGCAGGACACCTATCGCATCGTGTCCAGCGACGACTTCGGCCACGACGACTACTCCACCCAGGTGAGGCCGGTTTTACGTCCCCAAAACGGGCGGTGGAGAAACTGCTTGGAGAGTTTGAGTCTTTGAGTGGTGAGAAGTTTATTTGTAAGACAACGTCGGGGAGCAGATGGACAAACTGCTGGATGTTTATATGATTTTTGATAAGAGATGACATCACTCCTCATGAATATTCATGTTCATATTCATATTATTCGTATTACTCATATTACTCATATTATTCATATTATTCATATTATTCATATTCATATTATTCATATTATTCATATTATTCATATTCATATTCTTCTTCTTCTTCTTCTTCTTCTTCTTCTTCTTCTATGAATATTTATAATATAATTATAATATTCATAACAGGTGGAGTTGAGGCGGAGTCTTCAACTTGGCTCCTCCTTGACTGGGGAAGGGGTGATGGGACCTCCTTGACCGGGGAAGGGGTGTTGGGACCTCCTTGACCAGGGAAGGGGTGTTGGGACCTCATCCGGCTCCTCCTTGACTGGGGAAGGGGTGATGGGACCTCCTTGAGCAGGGAAGGGGTGTTGGGACCTCATCCTGCTCCTCCTTGAGCAGGGAAGGTCTGGTGGGACCTCCTTGACCAGGGAAGGGGTGGTGGGATCTCCTTGACCATGAAGGTCTGGTGGGACCTCCTTGACTGGGGAAGGGGTGCTGGGACCTCCTTGACCAGGGAGAGGGGTGTTGGGACCTCCTTGACCAGGGAAGGGGTGTTGGGACCTCA